CCAACATCGTTAGGCATTAAACAATTATAAAAAAAAACTTTCCCAATTTTATTTGCCGATTCATAAAATTTTTTGTACAAATTGGAAACAAGTTTTAGTACAAATTTATATCTTATCTTTTTATGTTATCAATTATAAACGCGAAAAACTCGCAGTTGAGGCGTTAAACGTAACTGTGTTGCCATTACACATCTCGGGTTTAAATCGCCAGGGTGACAAACATCGAGTAGATGTTTTCACATCTAAACTACAAAAAGGCTCTGGACGACAATGATGAGTAGAGAGCAATTATATTTTTTTGAAAGAATGAAATCTTTCTCATTTGGTGTTGCCTGCTTAACAAACTTCTTTACGTCATGAATGAGGCGATCGATATTCATGGGTTTGTACTCGAAATCTTGAATCTGCGAGATCTTACGTTCTTATCATCGCACTTACCCATATTTCGACTTTAAATTAATGAGGTCTAAGACGCAAATTGAGATACCAATCGAGACAAAATGCAAAATAAGATAATACGGCATATGCTGTGAATATACGATTTACATTTTGCCCGTACGTAACTCACAATTGGGCTACATGTAAACTAAAAGGAGTTGAAAATTATCAGAATAATCGGGAATATTTATGAAATCAGAATGGAGGAAATAGCGTTTATCCCCGTTAACTTGTATCATGTTATTCATCACCATTGCTTTGTTTTCGCGATGCAGCAACAAGACAGTGTCACATTAAAAGTCATTGTAATAATTTTTTAATAAGACGACTGAGTTGAGTTCACGAATTGTCGCAGCTTTCGCGCGCTGTTCCGTTTTTAATATTCAAAAAATATAAGCGACCCGTAAAAGACTAGCAACCCTAAATTTTGTCACGCGAGCGACATGGAATCTGCCGACCGATGGGCCGCAGCCGATAGTCGGCCACGGCTTCTTCCACATCCGAGTCCATGAATCCAAAAACAAATGGCCGAATAATTCTATGGACTGGAGACCGTGGTAGGATGAGGAATTGGGGATGAATTTTACCGAAGTATTTTGATGCAGGTCATCAGGCTGTAGGAATGAATGAGATGTACGAAAATCATTATTATAAGTTTGGAAAAATTAACTTTGTTTTCATTATTTTAATGTGAAATGGGGTGAAGTTAGGGAGATAAATGCTGTAAGGCAAGAGTACACGGCGGTTCTTGAAGAGGTAGAACCCTGGATTCTTTCATTTCCGACATATCATATGGTGAAAAACATGTTATATATTTGTTTCTGACTTTACATTTTTTTGTAGTGACGGAGGGCGATGAAGTTGTATAAACCACTGTAGGGGAGCGATGTTCAAAAAAGTTTGGGAACCACTGGTTTAGACAGTTTTGAACGGTGTGGCCGCGAAATGAGATTTTAGTTTAGTTAATCTGGTACGTGAGAGCAATTTCAATCTCTTTGCGCCGCAAAACCTATACCAGTATACCTGAGCGTCAGTGCTATATTAACAAAACTGGCGAGCCAAATACCAGATGTTGTGAAACGTTTTTCTCACTGAATTCGTTTAAAGTTGGTTTGACAATAAATTTGAATAGTAGTTTCACCCAGCATTTATAAAAAGACAATGCCGTAATATCAAAACAAAAAGAAACAATTTTTTGTGCTAGCAAGTACAGTAGAAACGCCACCTACGAAATTAAGTCGTTCGGGAAGCCCCATCCGTAGGAAGAAAATTCCGTAAGTAGGACGCATTCTGTAAATAACCTTATCCGTTCTAAGCCCTCAAAAAACAGGACATAATATTTGTATAAATTATAACAATGGTTAAAACACGTGTCAAATACATGTTTGAACCAGATTTCGGCATAATAAATAGAAAAGACACACACGGAAAAAAATAGAAATACCGAATAATACCGCATAAGGCCGTCTTCGGTCACAAAAAAATAAAATATTTGTAAAATGTTTTGAATAAAAACGTGGACGGCGGCGCTATAGGATACGTGCGCCATATTTGGTATTCTTATAAACATGGATATCGATATTGAAGGTAGAGATATTTAAATATTGAATTCGAAATGAACATCCCTCTTTCAAGCACTGCATTAAACTAACCTAAAATAAGCAAATATCGCTACATACAGTTTTTAAGTTTTCGGTTTTTGGCGTTTCGTATGCAGAAAATCTTACGTTAGCCGAAGCAATAATTTTACAAGAAGAATTTTTATATCCAGAGCCTTTCATAGGTAGAGTTTCTAGGTTAGGCCTTACCAAGTTACTTGTATCTTGCCCTCCTGCAATAAATGTTGCGCACCCCTGGTTTAGACGTCCTGTTCGAGCACATGTTAACAAGTAAATTTAAGTAATGCTATTCTCAACTCATCAAACAACTTCCTACATCAATATGTCCAACATTTTTAACTAGAACGTCGACTGGGAAGTTAATTTTGACGTTTTCAACATTTTGTACAGATATTAGTACAGAATTATCTTTCATCCTAATATTTTGGCACTATTATTTATTTACTCGTGATCACTACTATGGAGATTTTCACCTATAAGTTTATTTATCAAAACCCAATCTAAGCTATTTATAACACGGTGCCACTTACGGTCCGTAAAATACTCGTAACTCTAACAATCGACTCCTGGTGGGAGTTGGGGCTTGCTAGTTTTTTTTTTTAAATATTTAATGATAATATAACTAACTTACCTGTCGTGTACAGAGAGTTTGTTTCGGTTTCCAATAGTCACAATTAATTGATCACTTTTCTCGGAAGAAGGTATCCTTTTTTAACATTTACGCCTAAGGTTTATATCTGAAACTAAATACAGTCGAATACTCAATAACATTGAACGAAAATGTAATGTGCGCATAGACAAAACTGCATAAACGGTGCCAAAGTCAAATGACTACGAAATATAAGGCACAATACCATGAAAGATCCTAGAACTGATGCCTCCAACAGCACAAATTACGGCCTGATATTCACCTGGTTAACTTTTTATTGTCGTTGTTCACTATCAAAATAGGAATAAAATTACAGAAGTCACTACAATATAACTGAAATTTTAAAACTTTACCCTAACTTCAGATTTCAGTCATTTAAATGGAAGAGAAAATACAACATAAAACCAGACTTATTATAAAATCTCGAACGTTAGAAAAATAAGAATTAGGTAAACTTTCGTACTGCAGAAAAATTAAACAAAATACGCAAAATACGCACACATACAATCCTGAACGACGAAAAAGCAACACAAAGCTAAGAGACTACAAAGCTAGTGCACAATGCCACCATAAGATCCTAAAACTGATACGGTCCACAGAAAATTACAATGCAATTTTTATCCTAGAAATCACGATCATATTTAACGCTTATCACTTAAAAAATGTCTAGTTTTAACCAAATTATTCACGGTCCATGAATTTCAAACGTCAGGAAAGGCAGCAAAATTATTCTACTTCCTTACGGCACTCATAGACTACCAGGCATTATCGTGGTTAACGCTTATAACCTGAAATTGTTTTTATCTCAACTTAAACAAAATATTCTAAAATATTTCAACAACAAAAAAAAGAGCAAAGTTATTCTACTTCATTACGGCATTCATTCATCAACAGGACAACCTAACTCTAGATGTTTTACTGTGTCTGAGGTGGTGGTGTCACACTTTTCATAAATCTATAATACCTCCGCATGGCATTTATATTGTTATTGTTTAGCATAGAAACAGAAACAAACAGTACACCTTAGAACTGCCGCAACAGAAAATAACAGCGCTATTCTCATCCTAGAAAACACGATCATGGTCAACGCTGCAGACAGTCACTACGTTTACATGGCGACGATTATCGTGCCAAAACCGTATTTTGAGCGAATCGTGTTCATGTAAACACTTTGGTTCGATGGCCAATCATGACTCAGCGTGTTTGCATCGTGATATCCCAACACGATTGCACAGGGTAGATTAGAGCTGACACGATGCTTTCCTCGCACGCGCGAACAGGTTTTGCAAGTGTAGTTTAGGTCTATAGTGTTGCTCGCTTGCTCTGCGTGAAATGTGTGATACCGGTACCGGTACTGCCACAGCGCTTCCGTTGGCAGAAAGTTTTGGCTTTTTTAAAAGTAATTTCCGATTCTGGATGAAATTCTCCACCATCAGAATTGTTAGTCTTGGATCCGTCGAAGTCAAAGGGAACAACAGTTTGTTACCGGTACTGTGTCGTGCGCGAATTGCCGAATTCTAGTACTGGTACCAGGGTAAGTGTGGAAGTTGACCGTATAATGTAAATATGAATAACATGATTATGTTATTCATATTTATCTTTATAATACTATCGCAATCAAGCATTACAGATACTGGTACGGTATGCAATAGAAAGTAAACAACTGAACAAAGAGAAAGGACTTTCAGTTTAGTACACAATACACCTTATAATGTAATTAGGCAAATTACTGTATACAGTCTGACAGTAGGTTGTTGAGAGTAACCGCAAGTACCATGAGTATAGTGCAGTACCACGTCAGGAAGAGATTTTTATTTGTCTTTATAAATCATTTCATTGCATATTTACAGTCGAATATATTGCCTGCTATGCCAGTACAGCAGTATGCCTGTACAGCTGTATGCTGATTATGAATTTAATATGCTTATAGATGTATAATGTTACCTAGTGCTGTAATGCTGGTAGATAATAGGCATATATATGATCTACGGATAGACTTACCATTTATATGAAACAAAGACCTGGACATTGCAAAATTAAACAAACCTTGGTACAATACCGAGGATTTGCAATATTCAAATCATTGGAAAATGTGCGATTTATTCCGCAGTTTTGAATAATCTAACGACAGTTCAGCCATTGTCAAGATGTTAAGTTGGTGTATTGATTGTATACTAAATGCTGAAATGTAATATCGCAATATAGTAATTCTCACTGGACTAGTAACTGTCAACTGTAGTAAAGTAAGTTGTAAATCAATTGGGGATAAATTGTCTGCCTCGGTGAAAAAATAAATTTATTTCAAAGAGTTATATAATTTATTGCCCATATAAATCAAACTCTCAGCACAGTAGCGTATTCAGTTCACTGATTTATATTTAGTTAAAAGTTACCATAGAGAATTAGTATTATTTTGTTTACGAGAAAAATGGAGCCTGCATCTACTCTTAAAACTAAGTGGGAAGGCAGCGAGATTAAAACAATGCTTGGCATTGTCCAAGAAATGAATTTGGTTAGTCTGCTTGACCAAAATAAGTCCAGGTCAGAAGTTCTGTACAAAGAGGTTGAGAAACAGTTGACAGCAAAAGGATATGAAAAAAGGTTTGAGAACACCATTGTTATGTTATTAAGTGGCAGCCTATTGATTCCAAATTTCAGAAAAATGTGTTGGCTTTTTAGCAAAATATCATCATTTACAAAGTATGTTCAATTCTAGTGACTAGCAGTTTGTTTTCAGCTTTTAATTTGGCTAATTGAAGAAAGGTGTTCTTCCATTTGTAGTTTCCAACAAATACGTAATAAAGTCAAGGCGTTGCGTTCCAATTTCAACAAGATAGTACGTCTGAATTCTGTCAGTGGGGCGGCTCACAAAACATGCGAGTATTACGATGAGCTCTATGAAATTTTCGGCCATCGTCCAGCAGTTGATTATACCCATATGGGAGTCAATTTTGGAATCACCAACACGGTGTCACTAGGTAACTACTTTTCTTTATTATTTTTGATTTATGCAGTTGAATTCTACATTTTTTCCTAATTTATGTGCATACTATCATGCTGATGATTTTTATTTCAGAAATCGAGGAATCACAGAATGAAATGCTTTTTAGCACACCAGAAGATCAAGGTATGTCTTCTGGAGTAGTTCAGTCTAAAATGCTATGAAATAAACTCGTATATTTCTACATGTTAGCCAAAGTGGACCTGTCTCAATATTTGACTGCTAAGGATAGTCGCATTAATCAACTGGTCTCTCATTCGCTATCAAGTCCATGTGCCTGCAACATTCCCATACCCGACATGAACTGACATCCAGCCATATGATTACGCCGTCTTATTGGCTTTTCTCTGTCTGTGGATAAACATAGAAATTAGATTAATATCTACCATGCTCTTTCATGCACATAATGTTAATTGAATTGTTTTGCTTAGGTGCTGAAGAAGGGGCAACTTCATGCTCAGGTGGTGAAGAAGGGGCAACGTCATGCTCAGGTGCTGAAGAAGGGGCAACTTCCAGTACCGACATTTCATCTAATTATGGCGAGAATTCATATTCTGGTATGTATGAACATATATATACTTAAATATGTATAAAAGGTCCCAAATGACTAAGTCTTACTCAATCATGTATCTGTAAAACTTTGATAAAGAACTGGGCCTTATCTAGCTGGGAAAACTTAACTCTCTTATGCCACTATGCAGGAAAAAGACATTCTGTTGACTTGGAAAGCCTTTTCGAAAAGCAACGAATATGGGAAGAAAATATGATGCGTGAACAAATGGAAGCTCATGCCAAATTATTACGAGAGGCTGTGCAAGAGATGGGATCGGTATTTTCTGCATGCGTTTCACAGCTTTCGAAAACTCAAGGTAAATGCACATAAGTTTTGTACATGCATGAATTTCAAGTTCGTCTTGTCGATACCGCACCCCTTGACTATATGAGAGTTAGCTGGTTTTGAATCATGGGGCTTGAACTCGAGTGTTAACTATTATTGTACTGAACATATACGATCGCCATTGTATATATGGTTATGGAAATCCTATTCTTTTATGTTTCTATTGCACACTCCTGCTTCAAAGAGCGCACATAATCCGAAGACTTTTTTATCTGTTTAAAATTTCTTTTAAGACACCAACAAATGAATCTCAAGTTTACTGGGCCACAACAACCATACTCAAGTGTCGAAAATGCGTTTATTCTCAAAATGACAAATTGAAATTGGTGCATGCTACAATAAATATAAAAACCAAAACAATGTTCCACTTATGTGCCGAGTCATCTAAAGTAAAAGGCAAGTTCGTTAAGATTAGTGAACAAATCCTGCTGAATTAATTGCAACTGACAGGTGAAAAAATGTTCAAAAAAGTAATATTGTTAGTCTCATTGAGAATCAAATAGGGAAGTAACTACAATGAACTTTTTCTCAAAGAAAAATTTTCCTCCAAAAAGATTCTCAATGCCTCCCTATTTTGTACTGCTTCACTGCAATTGCTGGCCGCTGATCTACGTTCCGGCTGTGGTTGGGCAACATAAGTTTCATTTGACCATCTTCCTAGAAATACATCTTTCCTTTTCTCACATATATTGTGCAGCACACAGCATGTTGCGACAACCTTTGGCATAAACTTGTAGCTAATGTCGCATCTTTTAGATAGACATCTCCATCTGAATATAATATTAATTAATAGATTTCCTTTCAATAGTGCTTGTCCTTTCATTGAATTAGTTGTAATAGGTCTTTACCTGCTTTTGAGTCGTCCAAATGCATGTTCCACCACATTGCGTGCAGATGAAAGATACACATTAAAAGACTCTTCAGATGGATTTAAACTTCCAGAGTAACCTTTCATGAGCCATGTTTGCAAAGGGTATGCTGGATCGCCTAGTATCATCAGCGGGACGTCACAATTTTGAATTCGCTTTATGGTCTGTAAAAAAATATTATAACTACTGTTGTGACCCTTTTGAAATGAATACAACGTGCTTGTTACCGAAGGAAGACTTCCTGCCACAGCAAGCTTGTACAGCGAAGAATTTTTCAGTACTGTTGCATCATGCACACTTCCTGGCATTGAACAAGATATATCTCTGAATCTGATTGAAAATAACTTTAAATAATTAAATATGCATTTGCATCAGTTTAGTTTATACTCTAACGATGAACTTCTAGAAACTGACATTACAACTAATCATCAGGATTTTTAGCTGCTTGGGTGTTTTTCATATTAAGCCTGCTTTCTGTAAAGAATACCTCACTTAACTCTATATCTCTCTTACTTACATGCATCTATCATCTACAACAGCCTGTAATATTATAGATGGCCATCCTTTGCGATTGGTAAAATCTCTATAACCTGTCTTTGGCGGTAAAATAGGAATGTGAGTTCCATCAATCGCCCCATATACATGCGGAAAACTGTGGACTTTGAAAATTCGTTCACTGATTTCAATAGCTTCAATATCTGATGGAAAGGCGATATGTTGTTTTGCAATATAATCGGTGAAAACCCTGGCATGAAAATTTTAAAAATGAGTAGTTACATAACCAATGACTTGCTAAATATTGAAAGCCAAGAACTACCTGCAAAATTGATAAACACAGGCATGCACTGTGCATTTTGCAATCCCGAATATATTTGCAACCACCCTGTATTCACAGCAACTAGCGAGTTTGTATAAAGCCACAGCAACCCTTTTTTCCACTGGCAAAGGCGGTCTAACCCAGTTCTGTTTTGGTGACATATAGGGTCTGACTTGTTCCACAATGTATTGAAATGTACTCCAGGATACCTTAAAAACAAAATTTTCTTATTTTAAAAAATTCACATCAGTTCATTCATAACTTGGATTTGATAAAATTAAGTACATATAAAATTTCCTTAAAAAGTCTTAAAAGAGGTAAATCTGTAAATTTACCCGGAAATTTTCTATCCAATCTTCATTGCCAAAATGCTGATTTACGATTCTATCCCACCATTCTGAAGTTCGTGTCTTTTTCCAAAATCTTCGCTTTCGACGTCTTTTCTTCGTAGGTGTACAAATACAATAAACTTTTTTCAAAAAATTGAGCCGGCTACGCCTCAGCATAACCTGACATAGCTTAAATCTTTCATTCATCAGAAACAGCATTATTAATTGCATCATTCGAATCGTAATCAAAGTGGGCAGAACCTGAAAATAACAATATGATGATGGTCAATATCTCCTGCTGCTGTGAGCAAACATATCACCTCCATGGCAAGATCTTATGGATGATGATTCGTCCACCACGAAAATGCCTTATACTGTTATAGAATACATGGTATATGCAGTAGCGAAATCATAAAAACATCAAGTATCCTTTTGGTATTTTGAATAAATATCATAAACTCATCCAATAAACATCAAAAAATAAATATTTTAAATCCTTCACCTGAGACAAATCCATGTTCTTCTTTTTTGTTCCATTCAGTAGCAAATAACCATTTACAGTACTTTCTTGTATAATTATTAACTATGAAGTGCAGAAACGTTACCGTAACAATTGCTTTTCAATGAATGTCTGCATAGAATTTTAAATACAAATTCAACGCCCTATGCTGTAAGCAGTTACCGGTGTTTCAAGGAACGTGGTGCAGAAGTAGATACCTGAAGTGGTATGCCAGATTAAGAACATTAACAACTTACCAAAATAAAATATAACGTTTTTATGTTTTTCTTAAAAAATAGCATTTAAAGTTATGAAGATGACTACTTAAAACCTTCAATATCTTGGTTAAATGTTTACATATATAAAAATTATAAAGTTGTATCCGGTTTGTTCCGAGGAATTCAAAAGAAGGAGTAAAACGTAAAACTGGTAACGAAATCTCATGTCAAATACGATAGTCTGAACGCGCGGGATATTTTTAACCGGATCGAAATTCAATGGTGTCCATGTAAACTCGAGACAAATTATGGCGTTCGATTGTCCGAAATACGATTTGGGAACGTTTTTTGCCGAAACGATTATCGTGTACATGTAAACGTAGTGAGTGACGTATCTAGGGTGTGGCAGCCATGGCTCGTGCCATGGGCGCCGTTTGAACAGGGGCGCAAAATTGGCGAAAAGTATTTTTCATAAAAGGTTATAATAAAATAATTTTAAATGGGGAATAACTGAAACTCGTATTTTTACTCAAATAACAACGTACAAGTAAATCAATTCAATAATAGTCATTATAAATTGTCAAACAACTAGCAAGGAAGCGCATTTTTAAACTTTGCCTCGGACTGCATCTGTGAAGCCTAGAAGAAGAAACCGACCTAGAAGTACAAGATCATCGTGGTAAATAATACATATATTCATTCCAACTGCTTTCATTACAGTAGTAATGTAGCATTTCAATCACAATTGTTAACAAGAGAGCTATGCTCAAATATATGGACACGTTACGCTGTTTGAAATTGATAAAAGTAATAGCCTTCTAGAAAAAAATTCCAGCTTTACCTACTGAAAATCCCAAAGCAATTGGCCCAGTAATCAAAGAGAAAGCGATTTTTTTTAAAACGTGTAAAAGAACAAGGATAAGAACAATTGAGCTATGCTCGAATATGTGGACACGTAGCGCCACAAAATTCTGATGACGTCATAGCAAAAAATTAAAAGTGATAGCTTTCTGGAGAAAAATTCCATATTTAACCACTGAAAATTTCAAACCAATTGGTCCAGTAATCAAAGAGAAAAGCGATTTCTTCAAAACGATACAAAGAACAACACAACAACAAAACGATCGTTATATCAACTACGTGTCCAACAAGAACAACAACATGATATTGAAACGATCGTTATTTACACTGACGAGTCTAAAAAACATTTGCGAACCTTACAAGATAAGTAACTAATTTTCACGATTGCACTGTCCGTTTTGGGTTTGTAATAACTTGCTGTTGAATAATCAATAAGTAGGATTCGTGGTGGAGACCGACTATCAACAGAGGACGAGCACTTTGTTTCAAATATCTCAGTTATGTATCGAAAAGTATGAGATAGGATCTCTTTCGCCTACCGAAATTATGACATATCTGAATCAACGGTGCGAGCACGTACCAACACTTTGTGTATATAATCAAGTTATTCATAATCAAATCCCGAGTGCAACACTTCTTTTATTTCAATTACCTGAGGGTTGAGGTCCTTGTGATTTATACTGCGGCGCCTTTCGTTTTGATCAAACTCATAGGGAATAACGGTGCCTTCCGAATACACGTGGTCAGTTTGTTCCTGCCCAACTTTGTCTGTATTTAAAATAGTTTTGCATTTCGAATGCGCCCGTTTTATGTGGCGTTTGACATATGCTTCTACGGCAAATCTATTTCCACATATCTTACATGCATACGGCTTTTTGTTTGAGTGTATTGTGTGCAAATGAGTATTCAGACTATGTTGTTGACTAAATGTACCTCCACATAATTTGCAGGTAAACGGTTTTTCACCTGTGTGTGTACGCATATTTAAATTCAGTTCGCATTGTTGCACCTTGATGACGCCACATATCTCAGATTTGAATTGATATTCATTAGTATGTCTTCTCATGTGCAACTTTAAATTCCCTTTGCGTGCAAATAACTTATTGCAAACGGTGCACTCATATCTTTTTTCTTTTGTATGAGTGAGCATATGACTATAAAGGTGAGGCTTGCATCCGAAGGACCGTCCACACATTTCAGAGACAAATTTCTTTGTATGTCGATTCATAGGTTTTCTCAAATTACTGCTGTCACAGAATCCTTTTCCACATTCATTGCATTTGTACGGTCTTTCCCCTGTATGCTGTCTCATGTGAATTGTCTTACTCTTCACATCGCCGAGCACTTTTCCGCAAACTTGGCATTTTTGTCGATTTTGTGGATTATCGGGAAAGTGCAATCGTAAATGGTTTTTTAAGTGACCATTTTGAGTATATGTCTTGCCACAAATTTCACATGTATGCGGTCGTTCTCCGGTGTGTGTCATTTGATGGTCTTTTAAATTTCTAGCACATCGACAACTTTTACCACAGATGCCGCATTCGTGCAACTTACTTGGTTCAACTTTTTCCATTTTAGTTAATGGTATCTGGTATGTATCTGGAAGTATTTCTTCAGTGCACTGAGTGAAATGAGTTTAACCAATTTATAAATATACGACTGGATAAAACCTCATCTACAATATCTATGGTTAGCGATAAGCTAACAATGATAAAAATGCAGACTATTTCAAAGCAAAGTTGATTCCTCGAGATAAGACGCTGGAGCTAAGTTTCATATCAGCAGCTTCTTCTCTTCATAAGGCTCAAAGTTTATCTTTCATGGAGCTAGACTCTGTGTGAACGCGATTGATCTAAAGGTTTTCGTCATTGTTTCCTTTAAGAATACAGATAGCATTGTATTCCACGGTAATCAAGTTTTGAGGTCTTTGAATTTTGTACAAAATTGAGGAAATCAATGATCAGAATAACCACAACCTGGGGTAAACGGACCACTGAGTCACCGCTATTTAATACTTTAAATAAAGTTAAGTTTCATTTTGCAACCATATACAAGATTATATATATATCACAAAGTTATACTGGCGCTATTCCACCCGCGTGCGTCAAGTCAAGATTAGTCTTTTTTCAACCACCATTGTTAGTATGTTCTTTTGCATTAATTCGTGACTTGATGGGTTACTGAAAAACACGGTGAATGACTATGTGACCAACAGGTCAGTGGTTCGCTGACCATGTTATAGATTCCTATGCTTTGACTCGGTAATTCCAACAGCCCTGTCCAAAACAATCTCTTTACAACCGTAGTGCCTGATGATTTCTATGCTGCTCGTACATCAGTCTAAATATGTACTAAAGTACTAGGTTAGTGGTTAGGGTTACCGTGTGTTGTTGACCGTGTGTTGTTGTGACGCAATAATACGAAATCCACGGCTTCGCAGCCATACTGTGAATCTTAAAAACCGATGAAATGCAAGCATGGCGAAAAGTGATATGCTAATTGAAATTTGAGAGAGATTTTAAGAACTCAATAGTTAGGCGGGGGATAAGAGCAATAACATCAACACGAATATTTAATTTAGTTACAACAGTTGGTCAATAAATTGTTGTTAAAGCACATTGTTAGTCAATATATTATAACATTATTTGGTGTGTAATCACTGGGGGTTCGGGTCGATTGTTTCATGACGAGGGGGTACTTTTAATGGGGTAAAGGATAAGAACCTCTGCTCTAGGGGCTCGAGAAACTATTGTGCAATAGTTCAAATGTCTTATGCAAAAAACATCTTTCAATTAATGAGATTGTATGAATCATAAATATATACAAAAGCAAACCTAATACATGTTAATTTTCTTGTAATCGTAACAAGTTTAATAATAGGGACATGCTTAAAGATATTCGAACAATATACATATAACAAAATAGACGCTCTAAACTTGCGGAACCACTGGACTGTACTAGCGAAAACATACTGCAACGGTACGACTTAACCGGAATACCGGTAGGTGCTCGCTCTACAGTGGTTTGTAAACTGCCGAAGCCATAATTAATTACAGTGCCCTGACAATTAATATTTACGACCTTACAAATTTATTACTTATGTATTTGACCCTTGGGTTTCGCTTCTTGATAACTAGCTTTTGTTCTCTATGTAAACATGCCAAATTTCAAAAAATCCCACTCCAGATTCGACTCCAGTGAAAACACCACAACCTCGATTCCAGGGAGTTCAAAAATAAGATACCGTTAAATTCAGATTATCGACCCCCTGATTTCTGGAATTTGAGAATAAGATTCCACCAAATTCAGAATACCGATTCCGAGGTTTTTGAAATAAGACTCCAACGGATTTAGATATCGGCCCCCGATTTCGGGTGATTGAGTAAGATTCCGCCGAAGTCAGAATGCCGACTGCCGATTCCAGGGTGTATACCACTCCAACAAATTCAGAATATCGACGGCCGATTTTGGGAGAATTTAAAAATAAGATTCCGATAAATCTTACGACTCCCGTTCCTACTGTATTGAAAACGTTACATATTCCGACTTCCTTATTCTGGGGAGTTAAAAAAAAACTCTGAACTCTAACTCTGAAGGGGAGTTCCGTCTCCACGATCTTTATTTTGACATTGCCAGTTGACTAACAGCAGTAAAACTTTCTTGACGGACAGGGGAAATCAAACCGACTGGCGCTTACACGAAATGGGCAAAAGACAGAGAGTGCAGGATGAGATGCAAATGTGGCTCTTCAGATTTATCATAAATCCAGACCGAGTGATCAAGGAATGATCTATTACGACAGTAACCGCCAAGCCAATGGAGTACTTTGTCAATTTTAAGCTTGTGGAAAATGTACTTAATCCGTTTGAAGTCTTGGGCAAGGCTTAAGACCTTGTTTTGAAAAAACTTACCCATTCTATCAGTAATCTTTCCAATTTTACTTGAAGAGTCGGGACTTAGCTTTAAGCGAACTTGCAACTCTTCTATCAGCTCTTCTTCTCATTTCAGTCAAAATACATAAAATTAAAAAGTTAAAATCAGGGTTCTTAGAATTTGCTCTTTTCGGTTTCTACTTCAAACGAAATGAAAGAGATTAGAATACTCCCGTATATGCTAGCTTATCTATTGCCGCATAAATTTGTCTAATACAATAAATAGTTGAGGTATTTGCAATTTACAAATTTTACTTTCGCTCTCTTGCCAGTGGGTAAATTTAATCTACATCAAAAGCAAATCTAATTGCGCGAGTATAATTACAGTTTTATAGAATTACACGTAACAGAGACCAGTGTCGGGTGCAAGTCTCAAACCACGAAACCCCTCGGTTCGTCGCGTCAATTCTCACTGACGGTAGTTGATGTTCTACTAAATCTTCTATCTACTCGAAACAACGACTCGATGCTCGCCAGTAGTGACTGAGACTATCAGAATTCATGATTGACGATATTTACCACAAACACAAACAAAAGTACTTCCAATATTTCTTTAACTGCTATCTTGCTCGTTACTTCAAGGAACACCACGTTCTGCTAATTTGCTTTGATACTTTAATTGAATATCGAGGGTTCGTTATCGTGTTCATTACTTCAAAGAATGTGTTGCGTCTATATTAGGCATTTGAACGAAGTTATCTTCAATTTTCAAACTTCTTTCCCTTTCTTGCGATGTAAGGAAAACGTTACATTAACCTTCGTTTCGCAGTATGTAGCCAGCCTAATATATCATTTAGTATCCTTGCCTGAAGTCGAATTTCGATTACAAACTTTACAGCTGTGCTCTTTAAATACTTATATTAAACTGTTAATCTATAAACCGGGTTTTACGGGAACCGGGTTCACTGGCCCACAGTTGGCAGCAAGTTCGTAACTTCTTACTTTCAAAACCTCAGTTCATTGACCCATAGTTAGCATTACGTTGATGATGAATTAATTCAAGTTACGCAAACAATGCCAGACATGGCCCATAATTGGCAGCGCGGTAATGATGATTTAATTTTTTCAGCTACGCTAACGATGCCAGACGTGGTCCATAGTTGGCAGTACGGTAATTATGAATTAATTCATGATTCGCAAACAATGCCAGACATGGCCCATAGTTGGCAGTACGGTATTGATGAATTAATTCAAGGTACGCACACGATGCCAGACATGCCCCATATTTGGCAGTACGGTGATTTTGAAGTTGTTTCTTCTTTAGGCTGCACAACCAATGTCAGACCTCAGTTTATTTCAAACCCAACCCTGCTTTGAGCTTTAAACCGACTTAGTGCAACTTGAGCAACAGCCTACGATACGTTTTAATAAATGTCTGCGATAGGCAGTATGTTAGGAACTTGTTTCTTATCTCGTCATTAACAGCTTAGGCCATAGTTTAAGTAGCCCAGGCTATTTCAAACTTCAACCTTTCATACGACATGGCACAAAGTTGATAGTAAGTCAGTGATAATTTGAAATCTTTCTTAAATAAGGTTTTCTATAAATTTTACCATTCGTCACCCGTTGCCATGAGCATTCTCCGCATGGCATATTACGAATTCCCACTAATCGCTAACCATAAACGCTTAAAGTTGCAAAAGTTATGTCTGACCGCTGTCGACGCGATAATTGAGGTGACTGAATGCTCAGCCCCCTACCAGGATATGTTTGATCTGTTATTAAGCTGATGTATCGTTTCGAAGGAAGTTGTTGACGCCCGTGTTCAGAGCTTTAATACGCGTTGTAGAAAGTTGCAAATGTCAGAATGTGCGGTTTTGTGAATAAAGTTCTTTGTGAGACTCGGCGATAGTAGGCAGTGAGTTAACGATAAGTCTGCTTATTTCCTCTAGACAAGTGATATAGGATTTGGGATATAGTCGACAGTATGGTGATGACAGTAGGTTTTCATTTTGGGGGGTATTCGGAAATTTAGGAGATGGTAGATATTTTGTAATTGGTGGTAAAAGTATGTGTTACTTATGTAAATTAGTTATGTATTTGACTGATCATCTTTACCGGCATAAGAGGCAATTTCTGAGTGTTTAAATACAATTTGATTTGCGTTATAAATTAAAGTGTGTGAGATATATTTTTTCCCAAGTTTCACAAGCGAAGTCATGGGCGAAAATCCTTACCCATATAGCCGGCAGTAGGTACGTAAATACTTCCTTCAGCTACACAAGCGATATCAAAATACAATTTTTTTGTTATATCTAACTCGAAGTCGACAGTACTTTAATAACAACTTAAGGTTGAAAAAGCGATGTAGGACGAGGTCGATTATAGTCGACATTACTCTCTCAGGCTGCACAAACGAGGTAACGGGCTGAAATCCTTTGCATGCATCAGTGATTAACCAAACAACGTAGAACAAGATACCGATTGGAAAACGACTGTTTATTTACTCACGGACCATATTTATCCACATCCCACGCTTGAGACCAACCTTTTATTTATAGAGTGTTGTTTTAGCAAACTGACAAGGGTCTCATCAATATATGCTTATCCGATTACTTTATTTAGCAAAGTGGATTTGCAGTAGAGTATAGTCTGCGATATTTCATGCCAATTAGTTCAGAAATTGATAAAGTAGTAAAACATTATAGCAATAGAAATGTATGAATGCGTTCAGAACAAGATGGATATATGATGTCAATAGCCATTTGGCATCTATATCAGTGATCTTCAACAGGGGTTCTGCGGAACCCTGGGCCCTGGGGTTCCGCAATACATACAGTGGGGTTCCGTGAGTTTATAGGGTTTCCCGTTTTTTTTTAGGAGGAATCATTTCTTGCTTCATCAGGTTGATGCGAAGTTGTTTGAAGAGTGTAGACATGAGTATGAGAATTCAAGAAGATTGCAAAGGAAATGCAAGAACAACCTAGTCATTGAATTTCACGCTCGTTACCTTCTCTCTGTTTCATTGTTGAAGTAGAAATATTTGAATTACAAATATTTCGTGTTAATTTTGTTAATTGGGGTTCCATAAAATCGATTAAAAAAAATTATATCAGGGGTTTCACAATAACAAAAAGGTTGAAAAGCACTGATCTATATGAATAAAACAGCCACCTCTGTAGGAGTTATATGGACCAATTAGGATTGAGGATGGATAAGTGGATCCCATCGGCATTCGTATGACCTCCTCTGCGGAAGGCTATTGGGCTGCTATATAGACAGTATCATAGCGATGGATAAATAATGGCCTAGTTCAGGGTGGTCCAAGGTTGTCGGCTCCGCGGGCCACAAATTTTTTTTCATTGTTCGCGGGCCACAATAGTGCCAGGAATATGTAAACAGTGCAATACAAAACAAACACTTTTTAATGTGCAAACACATAGTTATCGACATAGCCATCACAGGCTAATAGAATTCGCATTCGATTTTTAGTTTTCTGTGATGGCTATATTGTTAGCATATATTCCCGACCAAAAAGATAGAAAGCCAGATAATAATTTAGACTTCCAAGCACATCATTCAACTTCGCTAGTTGCCTCAACTAGCCATAACACTAGTCAATTTAGTGATATTAGGGATGCAACAATATGTCAAAAGATTTTTCAGATTAATTTGATTACGAAAAAACACGAAATGCGATTTATTGGTTACTCTCCGAATGTGACGCGGGCCACAGATGATAAAGCTGCGGGCCATATGTGGCCCGCGGGCCTGGGTTTGGACCACCCTGGCCTAGTTGGTTATTAAGCTGCCATATAGATAGCAGGTTCTGTTTTTTCGGTTACCCAGTGTCAACAGATATATATATATATTGTGTTGATGGATGAAATTTTTCTTCAGGAATGGCGTTAATGAGAAACATAACTAAATATTGCAATATTAATAGAACGTTTGTGATTGAATATAAGTCACGTGGGTATGTGACGTCATCCGGACCACCTGAGATTCCAAAATGCGAGTTTGAATTTAAAGGATATGGGTAAGGTACTTCTATACTTTCTTTTCTCAGTGTATTAACTCGACTTGAGTCGCCATTTATCGAATACTCAAGTCATCTAAATGAAATTACTCGTACTCAACTAACAGTCAGTGAGACATTTGGTGGACAACGGTCTGCTATTGAGCACCATTAAAAAAGCCTCAATTTTTCCTGGCGATCATTAATTTACTTGAAGTCTTTCACCGAACTATTTTATTGTTGTTTTAATAGTGGGAAGAATTATGACGAAACAAAGGCAATTCATGGATCGAAATTGTCACCATCTGTAAGGAATTACTACAGCAAGCCACTACTCGCCACCCAGGTAAAATTGAATGATTGTTTAACAAAAACTGGTTTTGCTTATATCTATATAGCTCTTGGCATTTCATTATTTTTCTCAGGACTGTATCGTCTCCTTTATTTTGATCGAGTGGTCGTAATGACTCGGCATTATTCTACATAGTTTTAGTAAATCTTGACATTTCAGTGGTTCTTCATTGCTCAGAGATAAGTCCACTTCACTCCCGAGTAAGTTTCCGTAACTACGTCTCCTTTACATCTGAGTGCCCGTAACTTTGCTCATAGATGAGTTCTATTTACATCTAACTGAGTGCCTTAAGTTTTCCTCTATACTTATGAGTGAGTGCACGTACATTTACTTGAGAGATGAGACTACTTTACTTCTGAGTTAGTTGCCGTGAGTTTGCAAAAAGTCTGCTTTATTTCTGAGTGAGTGCCCGTGACTTTGTCCAGCGATGAGTCTGCTTTACATCTGAGTTCGTGTATGTGGTCTTGCTTCAAGAATATTCTCTCAAAAATTTAAATTTGTAGTTCATGGTGGTCATGTCTTTTTGTGAACTCTTTATTCCTCCCTCAGTACGCATGAAAACTACTTTAATTGTTGAATGCCAAATGTATCCTTATTCGCGAATCGCAGTTCAAGTGGTTTATATGTGCACAAATATACATTATAGTAATAATCATTAAGAAACAAAGATTATTAATAGTTGCAAATACTAAGCATAATTCCGCTCCAAGGATGACAAAATTTCTGACTGTGGAGGAATTTCTCCTCTCGTTAGGAAACGTTGTTATAAACTATTAAACATTTATTATGATAATAAACATTATTCTAGGGAATTATCATACTGAAAATATGGAATCGATTGGCCCGTTGGCTGCAAAAAACGATTTTCCTAAACAACAAATACCCAACATAAACAACAATTCGTACTTTGTGTCCGATGAATTTAATTTTTATTTCAGGGGCGAATGCAATGGGTTTGGGATCAAAATGGCAAACGATATCTCGATCTATTTGCCGGAATTGTCACAGTCAGTGTCGGTCATTGCCATCCTAAGGTTAATGAAGCCGCTCAAAAACAAATGGAAAGTTTATGGCACACTACCGCCATCTATATGACCCCTCCAGTGTACGAATTTGCAGAGAAGTTAGTGGACACTATGCCAGGGGATTTGAAGGTTTGTGAATTTTATTATTATTATCTATTGATCGTGGACCCTTCGCAGTGCGAGACACAAACTGGTTCGCCTGAAAATGTGCTTGGGACGCTTACTCTTTCAACAGAACCCAAAAATTACTAATTTTATTTCCTGTCAATTTTATTGTTTATTTGGCATTAAAGTGTTGCTCAATAGTATTTGTATATGTTGCAAGTACCACTTTGTAAAAACTTGTCAGCATTCATTTTGGCAAGTAAATCCACGCCACCACTTCCAAAACCCGCTGGCGAACAAGCGCTGCCTTCTCACTTTGGTTTAATAAACGTTTTGTAAAAATATTTGTTTTATATTAGCCCTTACGTTTGTGACCCCAAAAGTACTACATCCCATTAAGTATCATGTCGTTGGGTCGCGAGATTTAATTTAAATTTGGGTCGCTCAAAAAAAAGGTTGGAGATCACTGGCTTAATGTTTGGAAGTCGGGCACTTTACTCGCATATTAGAGACCACTATACGCATGAACAGTGTAACATGCAACCCGGTATATAGGAATGTACAAGCTTGTTGTAAGTGATTTCATTTATTTTTTTACTACCATACTGTTATTGTACACATTTTTTTATTCGATTCTATTAATTATGTTTATCTTAGGTTGGGGCGAAGTCATGTTTTTCCCCCAACATTAATTTTGCTATCTGTTTTCATTTGGATTCCGGCCTAACATCCGAACGGAATCAATAGAACAGTTTATTGTATATGTAATAATCTAGTCCTGAAATGGAAAATGACGGCCCGCGGGCCAAATCCGGCCCGTTGGGTAATTCAATCTGGTCCGCCTAAATTAGGTTTTGGCACGAAGCTTATTGTTTTCCATATTTGCTTTGTAACACTGTAAATATTGTGCAACTTTTTATGCCACACATGCATGGTCCGCCAGTCTAGGCGGACAATATTTTTGCCCCAATTTTAAAACTATATCCACCCCTGACTAGCCCAAACTAATACTATCAACGTTACACAATAAATTATCAACTAAGATGAACTGAGATTGTTATGGCGGTAAAACCGATAACACGTATTATTTTTCAGTGGTGGGGCAATATCCGATCCGAATTTGGAATCGGGGTTGGATGTCAATTTACCCCGGTTCCACAGCCATATATTCTTCTCATCAAAATACATGGGCCTAATATGCTCCAATTACATATTTTCAGAGTCATAGTCAAGTTTATTTTTTTCCATCTAGTAAAAAAAATAACATGCAAAGTTTAAAAGTATAATATTGGAAGTCACGGGGAACCAAAGGTTATCAAACAGCGAGACCTAAAGTTCGAATATTTAATTCGTTTTTAGAATTTGTCAAATCACGTGTCCTACTTCAAAAATACCTAGCCAACAGTAAGCTACAAATAACAGATATGGAGGCGAAAGCTTTTTTCATTCAAAAAAGATGTTGATGAAACGTAAATATCCCAAAAAAGGCGGACAAGATTAAATCTCGCACATTCTTTTAATTTCAATTAGTTTCACGCCCCCTTAAAAATTGTCCACGTCCCTTTGTGAAGCGCGCTTCGCCGTTTGAGAATGAATCACTATTTTAACATTTTGATTGTCGAAGTATTGTTAATATTGCGCAATACAAACTACATTTCATTTCTACAGGTTTGCATTTTCACAAACAGTGGTTCAGAGGCGAATGATTTAGCCTTGATGTTATCGAGAGTTCACACGGGTGCATTTGACGCAATATCTCTTCGTAATGGATACCACGGAGCCGGACCATACTCGGTTGGTTTGACAGCCCATGGGACCTGGAAACACCGTTATGCTAATGGGTAAGTCTTTAATATATATATATGCTACAAATAAAATTAGGTCGCGTCGGCATGATGATCGAAGCATTAAACTTTGATGGCATCGCAGTTAAAAACATCGGGCTTGAATCCAATGACCACCTATCCACCCAGGTTGTGACAAATTGTGAAAGCTATGTCGAACCCAGAAAATTGGTGTTCGAGCGTCGTCCAAGGAAAGCGGATGGAAGTGCCGAACCTACACCAAATGTCGCTAGCTTGCTGCTTGTGTCAGCGATCCCATGCATGCTTGCTAGTCGCATTTACTTACTACCAATATCACCAGTTAATTAGTTCAGAATCGTTCCGTGTGCTTTAAATTTAAGTTGAAAAAAAGGCTAACTTAGAGTTATTAGTTCCAAACCATGAAAGAAAGCATAAATCGTTATTCAGCGGCATTATTGAATATAAACTTTTTGATATTCCTTACCAGGTTCGGAATCCATCATGCAATGAACGCCGATCCTTATCGTGGTATTTGGGGAGGATCAAATTGCCGGGATTCCCCTGTTCAAACAGACCGAACTTGTTCCTGCGCGGAAGGACATTGTAACGCGGCGGATGAATACATAGGACAACTAGAAGAAACTCTCAATTATTCTGTATCTCCCAAGATCGCCGCTTTCTTTGCTGAATCAATTCAAGGAGTTGGCGGTTGTGTTCAGTTTCCGAAGGTAGAAAATATTTTTAATCATTAAACCCGGTTGTAAAATATGTGGTGATTCAAAAAAAAGAAAAAACTATAAAACCTAATTGACCTATTGAAAATTATGCAAGTGCATTACGCGGCAGTGCATGCCGGTTAACGAGAGACTCGAGAGAGTTAAGTATATAGGTCAGATAAACACACCCTACCAAATTTTATAATACCCTGGCGCTACACGGTTGGAAGATGAATTGAATTTTGAACATCAAACTGCCATTCAAGGTATTCTATTCTCTAATGCGGATTGCCCGTCGCACTGAATACAAAATTGAAAATTGGCACATAAGTTACATTTGATGTCCGAATCTGTATTAAGATACCTACAAAAATTCCAAACCGTTCGCATCTCTTTTGTAAAAGAATTACCAAGAAGAGCCACAGAATATTAGATGGAAAATTTTCAACAAATCTTGGTTTAGAACTATAACTCAAAGATCTATCCTATCATTATAATTTCCCACTTGCCAAATTTAGAGAAAGTTGTTTTTGAATGTCTTCCTTTTTGAAACGAACAGTGGTTAACCGATTAATTTAGTCTGGTCAACGATTAGAATGTTTTGCATGAAATACATACCTACAGTAATTAAATATTTGTTGACTCCTCTATAAAAAAACAGTACTATTTTAGGGAAGGCATTTACAGACGTATTAGGGAAACACTTCTTTAATCAAAGTGTTCTTATCTAATTCATGTATTGGCAATTTTCTCAGGGCTACTTGAAAGCAGCATTCGACCTGATGAGATCCAGAGGCGGGCTGTGCATCTCTGACGAAGTTCAAACTGGATTCGGTCGATTGGGATCACACATGTGGGGGTTCGAGACTCATGACGTCATACCTGATATCGTCACAATGGCAAAGGGTAATTTATCGTTATTTTTTATGCAACGGTTATCCACGCGCATCGCTCTAAACAAGGATATTCGATTGTAAAATACCATAGAAACCTAATGTAGATTGACTTTATCAGGTACTTCAGTAGTATGTGTACCAGGTTAGGGTTAGGCCATAATTTTATTCCGGTTTTCTCCATTTCAGTTCCATTAAGAGTTCGGGGACTGCCTGTGTTAGCCGAGTGAGTATATACCCCCTGCCCAAAGGTTTCAGTCGCTTTACACAACTTGATGGAAAGTAGGCAAACGAAAATAGCTACCTCCATTTTGGTACACATACTTCTGGAGCGCCCAGCAGGTTTTGCAAACTCGGCCTCAAAGCATAAGAAGCTACTGATATTTAAAATTTGTCTCGTTGGTCAATTTTAGTTGGTTGTGTTCGAGAAACCTACCATTCTGGTTGAGTTCGGGTCAGAGTCGAAATTTTTAATTTTTACTACGCGGAGTTGCGATACAGATTCGGAATCGAAATGTTTCTTAACTCGGAATAGGGGTTCAAATTATTCACAACTCGTAATCGGGATTAGAAGTTGGAATCAAAAATTTTTAGGAGTCGTAGTTCGTAGATTTTCGCCGACTGCACAGCCCTGACTCTAGCACGGCTCAACTAAAAGAGCATCGAAGTATGTGACAAAGATGGCGGACGCCGGGACGAAGTATGTGTACCGGGTTAGGGTTAGGTCATAATTTTATTCCAATTTCCCTCATTTTAGTTCTATTATAAATTTGGGAACTAGCCAAGTGACTCCCGTAGTATTTGTACCTAAAATTATCGCCTAACTCTAACCTGGTACACATACTACGTTTCGGTGTCCGCCATCTTGGTTCACATACTTCGCGAGTACCTTACATTCTGCTTAACAGAATTCCGTAGAAGTCTCTAAGCCCCGAGTCGAGTCAGGAGTCCTAGTTTGGAGTCAGGCCCATCTGTGAATTAAGTACTACTGCCCAGATTATTCTATTTAGATGACTCGGGCACTTCGAGTCTTCGATAAATGGTGACTCGAGTAGATGACAACAACCTCGGCAACGAGTCTTCTTTGAGCTGAAACTAAATAAATAAACAATTTTTGAACTTTTTTGTAGGAATCGGGAATGGATTTCCAATGGGTGCCGTTGTCACAACGCCAGCTATCGCCCAATCATTGAAAGGAGTTTTACATTTCAACACTTTTGGCGGGAACCCCGTCGCATGCGCCGTCGCAAGCAGTGTATTGGACGTCATGAAGGAAGAACAGACGCAAAAACATAGTGCTAAAATTGGGACATATTTTCTTCAAGAGCTCGAAAAAATGCGGGGTGAATATGACGTCATCGGTGACGTCAGAGGAAAGGGGCTCATGATCGGAATCGAACTTGTCTCAAACAAAGCTACGAGAGACCCCTTGGTAGGCCCGGAGTACGCTAAACTTTTTGAAGAAATTAAAGACTTGGGTGTTTTGGTGGGCAACGGCGGTTTCCATGGCAACGTATTACGTGTTACACCTCCCATGTGCGTCACGTATGACGACATAAACTTTGCCTTGTCTGTGTTGAGATATGCGTTCCAAGCCCGTAAGGATCGCCAGGCCTAATTACTTTGTGTGTTGTTTAATCATTATTGAACCAGTAAAAAAATTAAAAAAAATGGTTAAATGATAATTTTTTCACAGATAGATTTAAGGTCCAAAATATTTTTTGGTGTTTTCAAGACGAAGTCACGTTGAAGAAGAGTATTGCTTTATTAGTGGGAGATCTCACATCTTAATTCTAAGAATCAAATTTCCTAAAAACTCACGAAGATCGCCATCCCTTATAGCTTTTAGTGCTATATATATTACTGAACCAAAATAATAAATGAATAAGTTGAGTAGTCATTAATTTTAGTTTGCTGGACACAAAAGAATGGAAATTAACAGCCGAGTTAGAGATTAGATTGTCAATATGTTGCGAGGACAAGTCGGGGCAAGGGTTAAAGTTTTTTTTCAGCCCGTCTGATACTTTCATTCCGAACATCTGTGCAAGCCGCCATTGATGCGTAGAAAGCTATTATTTTGCCAGCGTGACATACTCAATCATTACGAACTGAGAGAGTGAGGGTTTTGAAGCAAATATCTTCACCCTGCGATTACGACATAGTTAGGTCTAACGCTCTAACTGCTTAGTCAGAGGCGTTGTAGGGGTGAGTTTGTTGCTTAATTTGATGATTTAATTTATAATAATACAAACATTTCACTCTCACTTGACCTTTAACACCTATAACTTGTTTATCCCCCGAATTATTTTTGAAGTTTAACCCCCGGGAAGCAGAAAAGTTTGGCACGCTCTGACTGCTTGACAAGTGGTTTTCAACTTTTTTGGTAAGTAGGAACCCTGCGAAACGTCCGTAGGCTCGGGGAAGCCCTGTACGATTGAATATGTGTATATTTAATGATACGATCTTATTTGTTGTCGTAAAGAATGCCAATAACAAAATTGAATGAAAGAGACCGAAAGTGAAACCGAATGACTTGAAATGTCTTTTTATAATAAATTTGACGCGAAACACCTGAAGGTCTTTCATGGAACACTACTGAAACACAGCCCGTGTACATGATTATATTTAGGCAACATATAAATAATAATACAGGTTCGCAAATTTTAATGTAAACTTGCAGAACATCTAGACCAGGGGTGGGCAACATACGGCCCGCAAACAATTGACCTCTCTCTCCCGACCTTTGACCCCCGAAAAAGTCTTCTTATACTTTACCATTGCAAAATTGTCGGGGCTTATACTAAAAGTGGTTTCGCGAGTTGGCGCTTGTAAAATGGGGTATGTGTTTGAAACCATCATTATGATTCATCGCATACAACAATATGTTTTTAAAAAATACCGGTAAAGAATTTTGGCCTAGTCTATCAAAGTTATTTCTACACTAATTTTTTTCATTACTGCAATTAAATCAAAAACTCTTAAGAAGACAGAGTGATCATTGACTTATCTAATTTTTATTTAAATTTCCGAAACACAACTTAAAACTAACGAATAGAGTTCAAAAACGCGAAAACGAGGTAATGTTCACGACCACGCCTGAAAATCTGTCTGAGTGAGAAAAGTGTCTGAGCAGATGCGAAAAGGGAGCATTGTTACGTCACTTTTTGCATCTTGCTGATTGGCGAATGTCACGAAGTAAACAAGGAAGTCGATGCTCGGAGAAAGGTCCATTGCCTTAACGCACTTGGTAAACAAACAATAAAAGGTCAAAGCAGAGAGCGTTGTAAACATTCCCCACTACTGTTACCAGTTATATTTATATTCTAGATATAAATAGATTTTAGGAATTAGATTTTATATTAATAATAGGTTTTATTAGCCATTAAATATCCCAAGAAACGTAAAATTGACAGAGAGTGTCGAGCATTTAACAAAGATTGGATACCGAAGTATTTTTTTGTAATAATCCGGCCCGCCGAGGACTTAATTTTCCCACATCTGACCCGCCGACGAGAGAAGTTGCCCACCCCTGATCTAGACCAATGGGGTCAAAACCACTGTTCCAAGCTCCAGGTTCTGTTTTACCCAAACTGTATCATCATCTGCACTTAAATCTGCCGAACGATATATCGAAAAATCTGCCTTTTAAACAAGACCAAATTTCACCGTTAAATTCAACGGCGTTCACACTGCGTAAACTCAAATAGTAACGTGGGATTGATATATTTTCTTGAGTGACATGAATTTAAGTCAACAGAGAAGTCACACTTCACGACATAATAGGGGTTCGATCATTTAACCTCCCGATGTCCCCGATGTATTTATTGATGTTCATTTCATGTTGATACACTTGTACAATTTGTGAACATATTTGCAAATATTTTGAAACATATGTACGTGCATAAGTACATGCATGTTTAGCGCCATCTAGCGGAGTTATTATTTAACGCGTCAATAGATATGTGAGTTCGTCATACGGCACTCACTGTATACATATACATGAAAACAGAGGTTTCAGAATATGTTTTCATATTTATCCCGGGAAAAAGAAATGCCGATAAGACGGCTTACTCATATGGCGAGCCGCGGCCTGTTGTTCGGTTACCAGTTCATCTTTGATGTGGGAATAGTTCATCTGTTATTCGTTAGAGATAAGTGGTTCTTAAGCTTTTTTCTGTCGTGGCTCATTTTTGCTGCACACAAATTCCGTGGCCCAATAACTTGCCCCTGCCAAGGTAAAATTAAAAAAAAAAATCTTCCCGTAATATAGACATTTTCACTTAAATAGTTAAAATGATTAACTATCACTCTGCAGCAAATAACTGCAGCATCATGTCTTGCTATACTGCAGTCAAAATTAAACTATTGTGACACAAATTGAAGTTCATCAGTACCTTCTTACTTTAATTTGCAGGTAAATAGAATGAATATTGCACTCGAATCCAAATACAGTCGATTCAATGTCCCGAGCCTCAGCAGCCAAAAGTTAATGAAGTAAGTTGGTAGAAGAGTTGCAGAAGATCAGTAATGGGCTGTAATAGCCTCATGGGGATTATCTTTGCAAGAGAAATGTCAGAAGATGGCGGTTTACGTGACACTTGAAAAAATCAATTCGCCACTGTTAATACAAACATTAATTTTGGCAAATCATAGTAACCCAGCGGTTCGTCAATATCAAACCTTTCCAGAAAAAAAAAACTATTTTATTAATTAATTATTAATAGAACTTCACGCATATTAACTACCAAATTAATTAATAACCTTATTATTATTACCTATTAAAAATTCATAATTTATCAGTAATCAGTAGTTTATTCATTCACCAAACATGGAATACACTTTGAGAATGAATTATGTGAAGGGAGGCGCGGGAAACGGTTACTGATTATCAGCAGAGTGATAAAGTAGTAATTGATGATAACGATGAATTGAAATTAAAAGAAGTTCCCGCCATAGGGACTGAATATCCGAAGATACTAAGAGAAACAAATAGCGTCATGTGTGTAACCATGGGAACGGCAGCGGAAGACTGTACAGCAATGGAATACAAGTATTACGCAAACGATTGTTATCCACATTTGGACCTTATAGAAATTGTTAAAATAACCATTGAGAGATAAGTACGATTGGTGACATTGGATATTCAGTAGCGATATGATCGTTTATGCGCACAAAACCAAATTTTTCTGTACTCCCGTAGTATGTGAACCAGGGTGGTGGACACCGGAACGTAGTATATGTACCAGGTTAGGGTTGGGCCATAATTTCAGGTACAAATACTACGGAAGTCACTTGACTAGTCCCCGAACTCGTAATAAAACTAAAATGAGGAAAATCGGAATAAAATTATGTTCTAATCCAAACCTGGTATACATACTACGTTCCGGTGTCCACCACCCTGGTTCACATACTACGAGAGTACAACTTTTTCTTCTTATGAAAATCGTTAAATCCGCCCATGTTCGCCCTGCGTGATTACAAACAGTAACAGCGGTCGCGCGGTAAATGAATTTGAATCAACAGAGTAGTCACGCATACGACCTTATAGGTCTTCGAACATCTAACCAACCGATTGAAAAACTTTTTATACACATTTTCATTCCGTGTTAATATACATGTACAATTTGTAAACATGTTCGCAAATATTTTTAAACATATGTACGTGCATGAGTACATGTGTGGTTAGCGCCATCTAGCGGATATATTGTGTTACACGTCAACAGATATATCAGCCATCCCCGTGATATGGCACTGGTTGCTTTAATATAAACGCAAAAGGAGGTTTCAGAATATAAAGTTTTCATATTTATTCTGGAGAAAAAAACGTCGACACGACAACTTGATCCTATAACAAATCATGACCTCGTCTCTCGTCGGGAATATTCATGTTACAAGTCCATGGCGAATATAGGAATAGTTAGCCAAATATTTTTTTCAGATGCATGGACTCTATGACGGGGTGAATCGTACCCGGTCACAGCTTGTTTTTCATGTTGTAGTCTGTTGTATGAGAAATATATTTGCGTTGATGGGCAGCAAGACTATTGAATTAGTTGTGATAGCTATCTTCACTCTTGCTACAGCTTCCTTGCAATACACATATAGGTTTATCAGCGCGTAAGCATAGAAAAAAAAACGTTGTTAGTCCTCAGAACCTCACCAATTGAATAACTTCATTAGGTAATTAATATATTTTGGCACTCGACCATCGTTCTCTTTACAGATCGTGAGATATCAAGGCCGCTCCGGCACGGCCTTGTTCGGAGCAAAACGCGCGACTAAGCGTTGCATAAAATATAAATAAAAGTAACAAATATTTAACTTCACAGCTTATTGTTGATGAACCACAAATTCCAATCATAACATGAGGCCGCGTGGAAAATATTTTGCAGTTTTTTTTAAACGTAAATCGCTTTTTTCGTGCGCGCACAGACTCGTTTATTCGCTCATAAAGCTCTCTCTTGAGGCCGGAAAGTGACGTCACAGATACATAATCATTCGTGTGAAGTCTGCGTGATAGCTTAGTTGCAATAGCGTAGGCAGGGAACGGACTAAAGTTAGCTTCGAAGTTAGAAAATCCAGTTATGGATTTGAAAGCTAGTGCATACTATTTGTAGAATGGAGTGGCCTTTTGACTTTATATATAATGGGCTTGGGTAGTATAGCAGCGCACATGCATATGAATTAGAAAATTTTCATTCGATAATGGAACGTACTAAAGTAAGCTCGAAGTTGAAGAGTACAGTAACGGATTTGAAAGATTTTTACTTTTATTCGAAGTAGAATAACTTCTTGACTTAAGACATATTT